CTCCCAGTTAGGTCTTTCCTTGGGGCTGGAAGAAAGACCAGTCAAAATGGGGCTGCCCAGGCAAAGACTCCCATCCAGGGCATATCTTCCTGTCTGGGAACAGAGACTGCAGGAGTCGTGAAAGGGATCGTCATGGGCCCTGGTTCCCTGCCTGTAAACAGGCACTGTGACAGCCTACCTGGCTAACACATCCGGGTTCCAGGAAGGGGACCAGCAAAAGGTAAGGATCACAGTTAGTTCCGGCAGGAGCGAGCCCTCTTAAGCAAACACTGAGCACAAAAATAATTCCCATTCAAAGCACGACTCACTGTGGGCATGGCCAGGCCTTTCCAGCAGAGCCCTTTGCAAACACTCAGCTTCACCCCGAATGTGGCTGGGGGATGGGCACACGGGCACAGCTACAACTGAATTCCACTTTTTCTAGTGGCATCACCTTCGGCTTCCTAGACCTGCTCAGGGAGCTGCCCAAAAATGGCCAATCTCAAAGCACCCCCAGAAAGCAGAAAACCTTTATACAGTCAAGTATAGCCCAAACACACACTTGTCCGGCAACAGCAAACCCCAGATCCATCCTATTCATGGATGCCTACTGCAGCCGTGACCGGACAAGAGCCTTCTATGTTCTAAGAGGCAGGGATGCCTGCTGGCATTGTCCCATTTCACAGATGGGCAATGGAAGCTCAGAGGTGTTATGTACCGCATACGTCCCGCCCGGCTCTAAATTCTTCTCACTTTATACATCATGTTGCCCTAAATCTGCTAATTATCCAAGTACCAAAATATTCAGGAGGTGCCCCTAGGCCCCACACCCTGCTAGGAGTTGGGCTACGGATGTAGCTGACACCAGAGACTTTATCTAAAGCCAAGGCAGCACTGGAAATGGTCCTTCACCATCGTTGATTCCCGCACTCCTGATTACAAAATCTGAGTTGGGGTCGGCTCAACTAGGCAAGAGCAGAGCACAATGCCAGGCAATGGTGTGTTAGTGAGACCTGCTGGCTCCACCTCCAAAACAGTCTCCTGCTGGCCCACCCTAATCCAAGGCATCATCCCAATTCAAAGTCAGGCTCCTTCCTAGCAGGGCCTCTGCTTCTATCGTTGCTCGCCTTTTCCAGCTATCCTCTCCCTGGCAGTTGGACCATCTTTGTTTACATTTTTTTCCACTTATAAAAGCAGTTTCGGACCACTGCATACGATTGGAAAAATCAAGAGAAGACACAAAAGGAAGTAAAAATCATCATACGTCCAGTATCTAGACTTTACCTCTGTAGAAAGGCAGCCTTCTAGTTTTCTTTCTATGTGTGCATGATGTGTATGTGTATACATACAATTATCTGTACAAAATTGAAACTATACCATAGAGTTTCAAATCATTTTTTATACTTTTCATTATACAGTTTCCAGGTTATAAGCTAATCTTTTTTAACTATGCTTTTTGTTTTGAAGTTTTGGGGGGTTTTTTTGGTATAGCTGATACATGTACATGGTACTACAGTCAGAAAGGACAAAGGAGTCTCCTATGAAAACACCATCTTGCCTCCATCCCATCCCTCAGGCACCATTTCCCTCCCCTGGGGCAACTCTGATTACCATATCTTGTGTACCAAATAATCTTTTAAAACTATAAATCAGATCTCCTCACTCCCCTACTGAAAACTCTCCAATGGCTTCTCATCACCCTGGCCAGAAAATCCAGGCTCCTACCCAGTCAGCCCTACCAGGTCCCTGTGGCCAGGCTCTGTCCTCTGACTGCTCCAGTCTACCCCTCCAGACACACCGCTGTTGCAAACCTGGTTCCCGCCTTAAGCAGTTTTTCTTTTTTCTTTTCTTTTAATTTATTGATTTTTAGAAAAAAAGAGGAAGGCGGGGGAGAGGGAAGAAACATCGATTTGTTTTTCCACTAATTTGTGCACTCATTGGTTGCTTCATATATTCTCCCAGACCAAGGATTGAACCCACAACTTTGGCATCTTGGGACGACGCTCTAACCAACTGTGCAACCCAGCGAGGGCCGCCTCGATGATTTTTCCACCTGCTGGGCTTTCCTCAGATTTTTGTGCCACTGGCTACTTTTCATGCTTTAGGCCTCACTGAGTTCTCTCTCCCAGGGCAGCTTTCACTGGCCTCCCCATCTAGGGCCACCTCTGCCCACCCTCCACACATACGTTCTCTATCTCATCACTCTGTCATATTTCTTTCACAACCCGTGGGTTCTACTATTGTATGGGTTACTTATTTCAAATTACTCATTGCTTGTTGCTTCTAACTAGAAAGGAGTATCCCTGAAGGCAGGCACACTACCTGTGTGTTCAGCCCTGATGCCCTGCTGGCACACAGAGGTGTTACAGGAATGAACAGGCGGACTGCACTGGCTGGCTCTCATCACTAATGCACACTGGCAGGCTCTCCAGGCATCAAGAACCAACCTCCTGGCCACCCTCCCTCATGCCTGGGGTGGAAGTGGAAGCGAGGAGCTCATTCCATGAGACACTGGGTGGCAAGCAGCAGCCTGCTCTTTCCCCGTCACCCAGTTCAGAGTCCAGAATCAGATAAGGAGCTGCGACAAACCCAAATTCCTAGAAAATACTCTACATACAAGGGGAAAGTTGGAGGTGAGACTGTGGCCTGTCATTTAACCTAAATCCCACATCATATTACCCAGGCGGCTGGGATATTCCAGGTCCCCAACTGCCCCAGCAACAGGCAACACAGAGCTGCCTTCTCCAGAGCAGCCCAGCCCAACCCACCTGACTCTTCCCTGGGGCCCTAGACACCTGTGCTCCTCTCTTCAGAAATCCACGGAGCCCCAGAGACACAAATGCACATCCAATCCATGAGCCAGCAGCTCATGCCCTGTACTCAGGGGACACCCTGTGGAGATACTTCCTTCCTGGGGCCTGATTTCCACTGAGAACACTGCAGTGGGGCCAAGACTGATTTCTTTTTTTTAAAGGAGGGAATGATGTGCCTTTCACAAAAAATGTGAAGAGAGGGAGGAAGGAAGGGGAACAAGAAAGATAAAAGACTTAACAAGATGGAACCAGATGAGCAGTAGGGAGGATTTAACAAGCCAAAAACAGGAAAGGATGGGAAATGTGAGGTTTCTTCCTTCCCAAAAGCAGACAATTACTATAGTTCATTAAATGAGCACTATCCCAAAATGCTCTTCTGGACTCTGTATAATGTCATGGTAGTAATAATGACAAGAACAGCTAACATTACCCCAGCACTTACTATATGCCAGGCACTGTTCTATGAGCTTCATTTTATTAAGACTTTAACCCTCACGACAACCCTATGAGGTAGGTACTCATATTAACCCCATTTTACAGATGCACAAACTGAAACACTGAATAGTACGGTTAAAATGCTCAAGATCATGTTACCAGTGGCAATACCTAGGCTTGAACTTCAGAGCCTTGGCTTTTATTATACTTGGCTTTCAGTGGTCCAGTTAGAGGGGTCCCTACCCTCCCGGAGTTCCTGCCTTCCCAACTACTATCACTTAACTAATTATTAGATACCTGTTTCAAAGGTGTGTGCATAATTCTGCTTATTGTGGGCCAGGGAAAATGCAGAAATGTTAAAGGACTCGCCAGAGCTCACATTGGTGGGAAATGAGGACCAAGATGTGTTGAATCCCAGCATCCGGAGCGCCACTTCCTAAGGGAGCTCAGTGGAAGCCAGGGTCCCTGGGAAACTTCCCCCCGAGCGGCAGCATCTTCTCTGGCTGTCTTTCGCCAGACCCCTTGACCAGCGCCGAGGCGCCCTGCCCGGAAATTCCCACAGAGTCAAAGCAAACTTCCCAGGAAAACTCCCCTGCTTCCTCCTAGCCCCTGTCGCGGAGGCGGCTGCCAAGAGCGCCGCTGGAGTCCTTGCAGCTGCCGTCCACCCTCCGGGGCGGGAGTCGCTGCTCGTGCGCTGGGGTCCTCCCGGAAAGGTCCAGGGCTGAAGTTCAAAATTCACTTCCCGCCCAAGCACAGCTCATGGCCCCGCCCGGGACTCTCGGGCCACCCCCACATCCCTGCCAACCCCCCCAACCCTCAGATCCAGTGAAGTAACATAGCAGCTGCCCGGCTGGGTCTTGCAGCTGGGGACCCTGCGGGCAACCCCTGCTCGTCTCGGAACTCGAAGCAGTGTGCATGTGTGCGTGTGTGTAGCTGAGTGTGTGAATGAGCGTGAGTGTGTGAGAGTGTGTGTGAGTGAGTGAGTGTCTGTGTGTGAGTGTGTGTGTGTGTGTGTGTTTACGTACGGAACGCGCGGTGTGGGAAAACAATGGCGAACCGCTGGGAACAGAGCGCCTAGCCCCCCACCCCCCACCTCTCTACCCCCAGGCATGATTTGCTCTCTCGGTGAAATCGGGCTGAAAAGGTTCACCTCCGACATCCCATGGCGGGAGGTGGGGGTCGTTGGAAGACTAGGTGGGAGGTGGGAGGGGGTGAGACGGGAGTAGCCGGAGCAGAAAACAAACAGGATGCAGCGCCCGGCTGGTCGGTAGAGGAACCGACCTGGAAGGGTGGGAAGGGTGGTAAGGGTGGCTTTGGCTGGAGCCCCGCACCCCATACACCAGGGCGGGGCGGGAGGGATCTCAATCTTGGGGACGCCCCCCCCAAGTACCACTCGGGGCGCGCACAGGTTGCTTCTGCTTCTCGCTGGGAAATCCTTGAACTGGGAGAATGTGGAAGACCTGGTACCTCTCGGCCAGGAGCGGGTGTGGGGACCTCGTCAGCTCGGCTCGTGCCGGGCGCACAGGCACTGACACTCGCAGCCACCCACGGCCCTACCAGGCGGCCGCCCCTCTCCACAAGGACCCTGCCTCTACCCGTGAGGAGCCCCAACCGGCCGGGGTTACTAGGGTCAAGTGGGGGTCCGTCCTTCCCCGGAAAACTTTGCAAAGGATGGAAACTAGCAGAGAAGAGAGCTGGCGTGTGCCCGGAACCGTGGGGACGCGAGTGTCAAACTTCCGAGGGCGGCGAGGGGGCGCGAAGGGGAGCACTTACTACTCAGCCGGGCTCTTAGCTCCACGCTCCTGCTTTTCCTCCGGCCGGCCTCGCGCTGGCGGCCCCGTCTTCCCGCTCACATGCCCCGCCACGCAGCTATCGGGCGCTGGGTGGGGAGGGGCACGCCCCCCGCTTCGGCCGGGGACTCGGTCCGGACTCCGGGCCAACCGGGTGCGCGCCCAGCGACCGGCAGCCGTCCCGGGCGGAGCCCTCCGCGAGCCAGGCCGCTCTCCGCCCTCTGCCCTCTGCCCTCTGCCCTCTGCCGCGGCCGTCTCCCTGCCTTCCGCGGTCCTGCCCCGGACTTGCACGGACGCAGCGCCGGCCCTCCGACCAGCTCTCCGGCTCCGGCTTAGCGCCCCGGCTTGGTCTGGATCAGGGCCTCCGCGCCTGACCGCTGCGCCCGGCCTCAGACCCGGCCCGCCGCTCCGTGGTGGGTGCCAGGACCCGCACTCACACACTTCAGTTCCAAGCCGGGACTGGGAGCCGGGCGCTCACGGCTTGCGGCTGCGAGGCGACTCCACAGCCTCGGAGGAGAAAAGAGGGAGGGAGACAGCGCGGGCAGGGGGAGGAGGAGGGAGGAAGGGTGGGGAGAAAGAGGAGGAGGGAGGGACAGAGAGTTCCCTCCTCCTCCCTGCAGCCAGGTCCATCCTGGCATCAACAGCTGGAAACCTCTGGTGGAAAGAGGAGAGCCAAGGCTCCTGAGTGGCGGGGGTGGGTGCGGGTGAAGAGAATAAAGAAGTGGATTCTGCCCATTCCCGCTGCCCGGGAATAAGGGTCCCTGCAGAGACTCAGCTCTTTAGGGCAACTCTAGAAGCTGTCCGACCAACTCCTAGCCTCCTAACCTCTTCAGACAGATAGGCTCTATTTAGGGTTTTAAAACCCCCATTTCAAAATCTCTCTTAGGAACCCGATCCCACCTGCAGCTAGACAGCTTCCTGATGTTTCAGACCAGTCCCTAATCCTAATTTTTCACTGGCAAACGAGTTGTTTTGTTGTTGTTGTTGTTGTTGTTTTCCTGACCTGTTGTTGTTTTCCTGACCTGACGAATCTGATCTGATCCGTTTCCAGATTCCCACTTTGTGAAGGAGACAGATAAGTGAACATAAAATTACAGTGAAGTGCGAGAATGCTGAGATCGGTTCGTTGGAGCATCTTCCCGTGCACCGAAAGGTCACAGGTTCAATTCCCAATCATGGCACATACCTGGGTTGGGGGTTTGGTCCCCAGTGGGAGCTGATAGGGAGGCAATCAATTGATGTTTCTCTTTCTCTTTTCCCCTATCTAAAATCAATAACCATATCCTCGGGCCAGGATTTTTTTTTTTTAAAGAGTGCTGAGAGCAGGCAAGTACAAGGGGCATGGGGCCCACCAAAGGCACCAGAGTGTTGTCTTTGGGAAAAGGTGTCATGTAAACTGGGCCTGGGAAGGAACTGTAGGAGTAGAGCAGGTTAAAGGAGCGGTAATTGTGCAACTGCAAATAATGTGCCCACAATGTAGTGACCAGCGTTTCAGCAAGTGATGGTCAGTTGGATACAGAGACCTTTTTTTTTTTAAAGAATTTATTTATTGGGGGTGGGTGGAGATGGGTGAAGGTGTAAGGGAGTAAATGGTAATGGAAGAAATACAATAAAAATATACAGAAAAGAAAATATTTATTTATTTTTAGAGAGAGGGGAAGAGAGGGAAAGAAACATCGATGTGAGAGAGAAACATCAGTCAGTTTTCTTCTTGTACACACCTGGAACTTGCAACCCAGACATGTGCCATGACTGGGAATGGAACTGGCGACCCTTCCCTCTGCTGTAAGAGGCCCAACCAACTGGGCCACACCGGTCAGGGCTAGACCTTTTAAAGTTGTGGGATTTCATCATTGCCCCAGAGACTTCCTCAGCTAACTCTATTCCGTTTTAGTTCTCAATGTAGGTATCAGCTCTTCCAGGAGCTTTTCCTGACAAGCCAATCTGGTTCAGGTACCCCATCCGAGTAAGGGCTCCAAAAGCCCCTAGTTGTAGAGTATGAAAACAGCTCATTTGTCTGTCTCTCTCCACTGTATTGTAAGCTCCACGAGGGCAGGGTTTAGTAAAGAGTAGGCCCTTGAAAAACACTTGTTCAGTTGGTTGATTGAAAGGAAGGGAAGTCAGCCAGGGATTCTAAGCAGGGCGCCTGCTGAGATCATTCTAGCTGGAGGCAGGAAGGCCAGTGATCAGACAAAGGCAATAAACTGATGCAGGCCTAAGCTAAGCTAGGGGTGGGGAAGATGGGAAGGAGGAAACAAGTGGGGGTAAGAAGGTAAAAGAAATCAATATTAACATTTCACAGTCTGGCTTTTGGATAACTGGATGAAGTCAATTCAGAAACCATGCAGTGAGGGTGGAGGGGCCAGGCAAAGGAAATGAGCAAAAAAGAAAAAGGAAATAACTCACGGACACAGGCAACAGCATGGTGATCGTGGCAGGTGGGGGGTGTGGGGAGACAGCAGTTGGAGGAGAGCATAGGGGGCATGAATGCTGATGCACAGAGACTCGACTTGGGGTGGTGGACGCACAATATAGCGTACAGGTGATGTGTTGTGGAATTGTGCACCTGAAACCTGTATAACTTTTGTTAACCAGTGTCACCCCAATAAATTCAATAAAAAATAAGAGTAGGGGAAAAAAGGGAACCACAAGAGTTTCTCTGGTACCACCATCCAACATGTCTCTTTTTGCCATATACCTGGATGTTTTTCTCTGGCTCCTGACCAAGCTGCAGTGGACAGCTCCATTATGGGTCCCTCCCTGTAGCTGTCCTTAGCCACAGCAGACAGGGAGGAAGACTAGAGAGGCAGGAGGCGGACTGTCCTCTCTTCAACATCCCCTCCAATCCACTATTCTCACTTCATAGGTGTCCGCTCTACCCAATCGCTGCCACTGAATTGAGGTGTTTTTTATTTTTAATCCTCGCTGAGGATATGTTCACTGATATTAGAGAGGAAGGGGGGAGGGAGAAAAAGATACACTGACGTGAGAGAAACATCTATCTGCTGCCTCTGGTATGCGCCCCACCCCACACTGGGATTGAACCCGAAACCTAGGTATGTGCCCTGACAGAGAATCAAACTCGCAGCCTTTTTGCTACAAGGGATGATTCTCCCATCAACTGAGTCACCCAGCCAGGGCTAAACTGAGATATTTTTAAGTATCTGCCTACTATGTCTTATGCATGGTACTACTTTCATGTACACTATTTATCATAATTATCCTAATGAGGTTGGTATCATTATCCCCATTTTAGAAATGAGGAAAATGGAGCTCAAGGTCGTAACCAGTAAGCGATAGGAAAAAGTTATCTGACCGAAGATTCTAGGTCTTTCTATACTATGATACCATTTCCCAGGAACACCATCACACCATTTAACCCAGCCAACCACTTGCTCTTTGAAACACTCACTACATGACTTCACACTTTCCTGAATTTCTTCTGACCTCACTGGTTGCCCTTCCGCAGCCGCCTTTATTTTTACTCCTTTCTCCACCCTTGTCTCCAGGTGGGTGTTTCATGTGGGTTCTCTCCTGCACCACATTTTCTTTCCATAGGTGAAATTTTATCCATTTCCATAGTTTTAAATAACTATGTGCTGACGGCTCTCCCAACTTTTTATTTAAATCTCGAAGTGCATTAAATCCGTTCAATGTAGTTCAGACTCATGTATCCAACCTCACATTTGACATTTCTCCCCAAGGATCTCGCAGACACCCTTAACTTCGCATATTCAGAGCTGAACCTTCAGCCACTGCTCCCAAGCCTGTTGATGCACTGTACCATCTGCCTCATCTCAGTAAGTAGTCCCGCCACCCAGTGTCTGAGGCCTAAAACCAAGAGTCATCCTTGGTTTCTCCTTTGCCATCTAATCAAATCAATGCTGTTGATCTATCTCCAAAAGTATATACCAATCCTCTTCTCTGTCTTCGCTGTCCCCCACCCTAGCCCAGGCCACCCTCATCTCTTAGCTAGACTAGCACAGCCTCACTGCTTCTCAGAGCTGAGACCACCTGCAGCCACATGATTTAACGAAGATTGTTTACATCAACATGACTTTAATATTTGTTTCAGAAATTTCTTGCCCAGGAAGACAAGACTGTAAACCAGTAAATAACTTCATTATTTGCTTCAGAAACTTCCTGAAAATCAATTTATCTGAACAATAGACTGCTCAAACAACCCCCTCCCTGGGAGAATTGTTTGCTTAACCTGGCAAACCACTAGCTTATTGTTTATTTTTCAAGACCCTTCCCTCACTGTGTCCTCCAATCCTAAACTGTTCTCTCACAGATTTTGCCCACTCCCAATCAGATCCTCCATATTGAAAGGTCTGCCCTAAACTAGACTTCAAACCCATAAATACCTCTCTACCTAGAAAGCGCTCCCCAAACCCTGCTCTTCGAGGGGTGGCTGCTCTTCACCCTCTGGCCGCAACACAGCAGTCCCGTCTGCCCTCTCCCCGTCCGCAATCACCTCCGCCCTTTTAGCCTCCTCGGCCCCTGCTTCCTCCATAGCGCTTAGCACACAGTTGGTACTTATTTTATGTTATCTGTTTTCTTGTGCTTTTTCTATCTCCGCTTTAGGCTGTAGTGTCTGCTTCCACAGCCCAGACTTTAGTCCGTCCTGACTTAGTGATGTCAATATATTCTTGGACTTGACGAAAAGTTAGGTGTAGAAACCAATTTTGCTATAGGCTAATTAATATACACAAGAATTAAATTCCATGAGCATCTCATCAACCTTATAACCAAATGACATTGTTTGAGGACCTGCTGTAGATGCTCAAAAAAATACATGCTGAAGGAATGACTTCGATTGGCTTCAGTGAGTCTCCCATTCCCTTTCTGTGGCCGTCAAGCCTAATCCTGAGACACTGGTGGGGGCTGCGGTGCCAAGGTGCCGGGGTTCCCTTTAACCTCCAGCGTTAGAGACGCGGTGTAAAATGCAAATTCCCTTGGGTGAACTGCTTTCCTCAGTGTTCCAGAAGCAAGGTAAGGGAAAGAGAAAGCTGCAAGATAGTGAACTGAGGAGCTGGGAGGACAGAGCCATACTGGAATCCCTGTCTCACCTCACTGCTTTGCCCAAAGCCCCACCTGCTCTCCTCATTCCAAGCCACCCTACCTAACCAAGGGCCATTTCCTCTGTGACGTGGGGGGGGAGGACGGTGTTTGTAGGTCTTAGGTCGTAGGTCGTAGGTCGTAGGTCGGGTCGAGTCAGGTCAGGATCGGCCCAGCCCCAGCAGAGCTTGTCTGCATACTAACTCTTCATCCTACTGACTGAGGAAGTGCTTTTCTAGAAATGCATAGGCAGACGTGGAAGTCAGAAGTGCTCTCAGTTCAGGTGGGTCTTATGCCATGGTGACTCCCACAGCAATTTCTCAGGGTCAGACCCTCTGTTCAGGCCATGCTTGAGGGGCTTCTTCTACTTAGTTCCACCTGAGTTTTTCCAGAGTCACACTTGAATATGGAAGGTAATCAAGATCACAGATTGATTCACAGAATGTTTCAT